CGACTTAAAACAAATAAGATATGATTGTTTAAAAAATTTCACAGAATACAAAAGTTTAAATTTTTTGCTGAAAATCTGAAATATTTCAACTTTGATATCTCATCTTTGAAGGATTGTAACTCATCAAATATAACACCAAAACCAACAAAATTATAGTCTAAAATCATCTACAAATTCTAAATTACATGTTGGAAAAAACCACATGTCAAACCGACTTAAAACGAATGAGATATTCTTGTTTAAAAAATTTCACAGAATACAAAAGTTTAAATTTTTGCTGAAAAGCTGAAATATTTCAGCTTTGATAGCTCATTTTTGAGGGATTGTAACTCATCAAATATAACACCAAAACAACAAAATTATAGTCTAAAATCATCTACAAACTCTAAATTACACGTTGGAAAAAACCGCATGTCAATCCGACTTAAAACGAATGAAAATGCTTGTTTAAAGAATTTCACATAATACAAAAGTTTAAATTTTTGCTGAAAAACTGAAATATTTTAGCTTTGATATCTCATATTTTAAGGATTGTAATTTATCGAATATAACACAAAAAACAACAAAATTATAGTCTAAAATCATCTACAAACTTTAAATTACAAAGTTGGAAAAAACACATGTCAATCCGACTTAAACCGAATGATATATGCTTGTTTAAAGAATTTCACAGAATACAATTTTCTTTTAAAAATAAGCCGGTCCAAAACCGGATTTTACTCGGAACCGGCCGGACCGGACCGATAACAAAACTGGACCGACTTTGCTCAAATCTTAGAACCGAGAACCGGCCCGGGGGTCCAAAAAAACGGTCCGGTTCACCGGACCGGTCCATTCCACAGGTCCAAATGCTCACTTATATATATATATATATATATATATATATATATATATATATATATATATATATATATATATATATATATATCATTTTTTACTTCCACCACATGCATTTGAAACTTCCATGACTTTTCAGTTTATTTCTAATAGTTATTATAAATTGGTAAATAATATTAAATTAATGCAAAAACAAAATTACAATCATAAATTAACTAAACTACAATATTAAAATATCATATTTTAGTTCTATTTATAAATTATGACTTTAACTTTTTAACATATTATAGTTAACTTATTAGTTTAGTGTGACATCCCCATTTTCACGGCCAGAAAAGACCGATTTTGTTTATGCATTATAAAAATCAGAGTGCCTCTTTTGATAAAAATGTTGCGGAATTTGTTCCCAGAAAAACATGATAAATACGTTATCAAAACATTTCCGAAGAAATGTATTTTTATTCATTTTAAAACATTGGGATGTCATCGTCAATACAGAAACATAAGCATAAACAGAACTTACATTCATTATTACTAGTGATTTATATCTCCTTAATCTCTCAGTGCAATGTAACTTCATATCGACACCTGTGATTCAAATAAACTGAGTGGGTCAGGTTGGGAAACCTGGTGAGTACATAGGGATTTCAATCCCACAATGTTATATCATATATATAATTTAGAACTCACAAAATATACAATTTCACTATATATATAATAGCAACTCTTACCCCACCCCGTTAATCCTCGCAACGAGACTATCCATACTCTCGGACCTTAAATTTTACCTCTTACTTAATCCATACTCTCGGATCTAATCCATGCTCTCGTATCAATAATAGTGCCCATTCCATACTCTCGGATTAGGGACAAGTGTCTATGTGTAAATCCATTCTCCCGGATTAACGACGAATAACTACGTCCTATCCATACTCCCGGACCGAGGACGACTGTCTATGTCTTAATCCATACTCCCGGACTAATGACAGTTGGCTATGTCCGATCCATACTCTCGGACTAGGGACAATGACTATGTCTAATCCATGCTCCCGGATCAAGGACATATATTAAAGTTCTATTCTCTGAGTATAACTCACTCGTACTTGTAAGAAAATACTACCCAATATTCCCCATAATTAATTTAGGTTTACTCTTTATCCTAAATCATCATATATAATAAGGTATGTTCTTTAACACGTACTTCAGGCAACATCAAATAACTGGCACATAAACATATATTTAATATTTCAATCAATACTTGTATTAAAATCATGTTCATGAAAGGGACTATGCACTCACTTGAAAGGTGGTGACTCTGCACTCGAACAGCGCTTCGTTATCTCAAAATAATTTTCTTTCGACAAAACCTAGTATCAATACCACTAGGGTTTAGTCTAACGTTAATCACGACTAATTAATAGTCTAGCTATTATTATTATTATTATATAAGCGTTAAACAACACTCTATATAACTCATAATAATAGCCCAAATAATTATTTTAAGGACCTAATAACATTACTATAATTATTTAAAAGCTATATTAAAAATATCATAAGCGTAGCTCACTTACAGCGGATTTAAAGAAAACCGGGCTTCGCTTGGAGCAGCGTTTCCGAAACCGAAAGACCCTTTTTCTCGGGACTCTGGGAGCCTCGGGGCTTCCCTCGGGTGCTAGGGGTTCACCTAGACTTTAGGGAGGGTTCAAAACCCTAGAGAGAGAAAAAAAATCTAGAGAGAGAAGAAGCTTTGGTGTGAAAATCCGAGAGAATTCGCAGCTATTTATAGGCTGCTGGCTTCGGACTATGCTGGGCGTAGCCTTCGGTTACGCTGGGCGTAACTCCGGATAAGACTACCAGCCTCGGTCCAGCTGTCTCGCACGTGCATCGGATGACAAGGAGCGAAGGTACGCTGGGCGTACCGACTTCGAACGCGGGGCGTAGGCGAGGAGCGACGTGTCCGAATCCGAGGCGACCTCTGATCTGCGATGGACGGTCTAGATCACTGCCACGTCATCGATTCTTCATCAGGTCTCGAAATTTCATGCTTCAACTTTAAAAATTCGTAACTTTCGCGTACGAGCTCCGTTTTCGACGTTCTTTATATCCACGCGAAGGCGGGAACGTAATATACAACTTTCGTTTAGACTCCATCGGCTAATTTTGACTTTTTTTAAAAGTTATATTATTAACAGGCCGGGACAGGTTTGGTCCGTTAAAAATTCATAACTTCTTCGTCCGACGCCCGTTTTCGTCTACCTTTTTATCGTTACACTACTCTTAACGAGATCTTCGATTCTCGTTTAGGTTGTGTCGGCTAAAAATTGCTCGATCTAATATTCAGATTTCGGGCTGTACACTGCTAAGCCGAAACTTCAAATAATCATAACTTCCTCATACGAAGTCAGATTTAGGCGTTCTTTTTATGGACGCTCTCGGTTTAATGAATTCTACGACTTTCGTTTGGATCGCTAAGGCTGAATATCGCTCCATCGTAAATTCACTATTTACGCTTCCCGGTGCCGTGCCGGTTCCGTCGCGAAACTTCGACGGGTCATAACTTCTTCGTTATAACTCGGATTTCAGCGTTCTTTATATGTACGGAACCCTTGTAACATATACTATAACTTGGTTAAGATTATTTATTCTAAATAATCTTTTGTCGAAAAGTCGTTTTCGACCCCTATTATCTCTAAATTGACTAGCCCGGATCTACGTTTTCGACCCCTATTATCTCAATAGTTACAAATAACATTATATATAAAAATTATATTGTTACCTTTAAAAATAAAAACAATGTTTGATGTTTTAAATAATTACAACGATAGAAATTAAAATCTTAAGCAAATAATTTTTTTAAAATTAATTAATCATAACAACTATAAATATCAGTAAACCATATATTATATTTAGTTTTATTTATGAGTAACCCGTGAGTAGTGGCTATTGAGAGTATAAATTTTTAAAAGATGTCTATATTATCATATAATTCAAAACAAACAATGTTTATACCAACTTATTATAAGATTTATTATATAAGAGCTAACAACAACATTATTGATATATTTAATAAACATATATCTATAAAGATTTCAAATATATTGTTGTATTTTGCGCAACACGTGAGTATTCGCCTAGTTATGAAATCAAGTAAGTGAAACTATGAAAATCCCTAATTCCCTCCTCCCCAACCCCATCTCCTTGGCGACGACTACACAAGAGGAAAAATTGAAAACCCACTTGGGTTTATCGATTTTTATGGGATAAAAGTATTCATTGGTGCTTTGTTTTGATATCCAAGGATCTACAAATCATCTAAATTGGCTTGTGTTGATACATCATAATAACAACCTATTTTGGTGGTTGTCTCTAATATCAAAGGTCATACGCTTCAAAGACAAGTCTTTTAAACATCATATAGTTGTTTATAATGGTAAATTAATGTTTAATGGGATTCAGGGCACTGAGGTTAAAATTTTGAATTTATTGTTTCCGCTGTAATTTCACTTTCTAGAATTATTTTATATTACAACAAACCCAAATAATAAGCTTATTAGAATTTACATTAAACACGAAATAGTAATACATTCAAATTTCATGTCCTTTCAAAAGTTTATAAATTTTATAGAAGAATTAAAGTTTTGTACATCACCATCATGTCAAAGAAATAAACATACTCAATGTACGAAAGGAACTACATGTTTCAATATGATATTGGAACCGACATCAAACGACGTTGATGTAGGTAATAAACATAAAACTAATCATAATTGACATGCGATATCAACCTTATCCTTAGACTGGACTGACTATGGGGAAAATCTCTTAAAGTAAAACGATTAAAATGTCCTCGGGTGCAATTCACACGAAGGCCTCCCTCTATCGACAAGAAACTAACATGGTCGATTCTATTGACTAAAGTTGATATGAAACCTTGAAATAAAGATGAAAATAAAAAGAGATTTCAATCTTAGACTAAACACGGTAAAAACCAGATGATATAGGGACCAGTTTTATAATTTACTCCTTATTCTAATATGAAAGGTGTATTTTACATAAATGTAAGAATAAGGGGGGTAATTTAAGTCTTGTAGAGAAAGACAAGGGGTTGTATTGTTAGAAGAGAAATGAAAACCGATCACGTGTTGGCAAGCATAAGAAAGAATCGACAGGGGCCGCGTTCAACGCTCTCACTTTCTCTCTCTCTTTCGTGTAAGATTAAGTCGTGTCGCCGAAAGGTAAAACCCCACCCAACACCCACAAACTCAGCCCCAGTCGGCGGACCATTTATCATCCTTCTCTCGGGGTTTCGTCTTAATCTCAACAACGTCGGTCAACTCAGCATCATTCCAACAAGAATCTAGGGTTTGTTGACTTGTTTGGCGGTGATTGTGGTTGTTGTGTTTGTGATGATGATGATGAACTGACTTCTAATTTGGATCAATTTTGTACCTTTTTGAAATGATGGAGGGTCAAAATTTGGTAGCCGATAGTCAAATTTCCGATAGGGTTCAACCGATTGGCGATGGTTCAAAGGTGGTCGGTGGTATGTCGGATGTTATTGAGGGCGTCGCCGGTGGAGGAGCAAAGGTGGAGTTAGGTAACGGTGGAGGGGGAGGGGCAGTGTCGAAGAAGAAGCGAGGGCGGCCGCCTAAGGGTATGGTGAAACCGCCTCCTGCTAAGAAGAATAAAGAAGTGGAGGAGGAAGAAGATGTTTGCTTTATTTGCTTCGATGGTGGGAGTCTCGTGCTTTGCGATCGCAGGTTTGGATTGATTTTTTGCGCTTTTCATGAGGATAATTGTTGCTTTATTATGTGTAATTGATTTGAGGGTGATGGATTTAGCTCAATTGCATGCGATTATCAGTTTCATTTAAGGAAATGAGTTTTATCTGTTGTTGATGATTTACACGTTTTTGCTTTATTTGGTGTAGGGGTTGTCCGAAGGCATATCATCCAGCTTGTATCAAACGGGATGAAGCATTTTTCGAGTCTGCAGCTAAATGGAATTGTGGTATGTTCTCTTTGTGATGCTGTTATTGTTTTCTTAATAATTTTCTAGCTTACTTCATGAAAATGGCGATGTTCTTCTAGACAAGAAACTATATATGTAACTTACAAAATCGAAGAAGTTTGATCAGCTATATTCTTCCCTTATGAAGCTAGGTTTTTGTTCTTAGGAAACTCTAGTAAGAAATGCAGGCCAAGTTTTCAAATTTAGGGATCATGGTGAAACTTAGAGTAGACACTTAGTAACTTTAAGATATTTGGACCCTTGAAACTGAGCACTTAAAGATAATGTATGAAAGGTTCAAGGTTTTGTTTCCCTATAAAGAATTACTGATCATTCTTCCAAATTTAGTTTGCATGTGGAAAGACTAGACAGTTTATAAGTCGTGCTCCTACATTTAGGCTTTTGTAGCCCAAGCAGTTGAAGATAATCATGAAAAGATCTTTGAACTCAGTATGGTAATGATTTGAGTTATTAATTTTTCACTACAGAGCAAAATCTTGTATATACTATACTCCTTTTTTATATTACTGCAGACTTTTAGATTTTGCCATCAATCGATCAACAAGGGTCACATTTGAGCTTTGCATTTTCCTCCATTTTATATATTGTTTACCTAGTTTCGTTGCATGGTTCTCTGAGTGTTGCAACCTGTTTTCATATCCCATTTTCATTTTCATTTTGATTTTCTGTAGCATATATATATGCAATAAAACATAAAGCAGGTATAAAGGCAATAAAGCATAAAGCATGAACTAATCAAAAGCATAAAGCATGAACTAATCAATAAGGCTCAAAGAGAAAAGAGCAAAATCTAATGCATCGAGTATTATAATTAAAGAATAATAAAAAACTCTTAATGCAACGATATGCAGGGTTGTATTATATCATATCTCCTAATATTATTCCTATTGGAGTTGCCCTAAAGTGATATCTTAGCATGTCTTTTTTAGGTTATCCAACATCATTTTTTCATAAATTTCCTAATGGGCATATGTTGGCTTTGAATCTTCATGAATATATCCCAAAACCCTAGGGGGTTCAGTGTTCACCTAGTTATGTGTACCTTTTGGTTTTCACGATTTATGATCTTTTTGTTATATTTACAATCTACCAACTAGTTAAATGAAAGGCTTATCTCTTAAGTGTTAATATCTTTGACTCTTTGTAGTGAAATATCTTCCTTTAAAATAACTAGGGAAAAAACAAAGACAAGTATGATATGATTCAAAATTCAAATAACCTGTAATATGTAATCTCTGTAAAATCTTGCATTATAAATAATATTATGTATGAAAACCAAGTGAGCACTGTAATTTTTAACTGATTATTGTTACTGAATATGGTTAGATATTAATTTTGAATAATAATCAAGTAGTCTTCCAAATTTACTAATTTCTTTATACTATTTATATGAATTCCAGGCTGGCATATATGCAGTATATGTGAGAAGACAGCTCATCATATGTGCTACACTTGTACATATTCATTGTGCAGAAGTTGCATTCGGAAGTCTGATTATGTTTGTGTTAGAGGTGATAAAGGCTTCTGCACTATTTGCATGAAAACAATCATGTTGATTGAAAATAATGGTCAAGGAGAAGATGGAAAGGTATGCAAATTCATATAATATTTTGTATTTAATAATTTACATAATCAAGATTTTTTAGATCATGTCTTCTTCAAATTAAGATTTTCAGTATTTACGCGTCATCCAAAAAAGTGATATGTGAATATTTAACTTTATTTATTTCCACTTTACTAGATTAACATTTTTAGTTACAAATGGAAAATTATGATTTCAACATTAATCACCTGTTGCTATTTTCGCGACATGTTTTCTTTTTCTTTTTTCTTTTCTCTTACATATTATTATCTGTAAGCTGTTCAGGTCAAGCAGATTTTGATGATAAACTTAGTTGGGAATATCTTTTCAAGGTATATTGGGTTTACTTAAAAGGGAAATTATCATTAACTTTAGAAGAACTCACTCAAGCTAAAAACCCATGGAAAATATCCACTACAATTTCTACAATACCTTCACCTCTTCCATCAACCACCATTACACCACCACCACTACCACCACTACCACCACCACCAACAGCAGCAGCAGCAGCAGCAGCAGCACCACCACCACCAACAACAACAACAACAACAACATCAACATCAACATCATTTGATAATCCTGAAGAAAACGAATCAAAAAGAAGAAAAATAGAAGATCATATTCATATCAGTATAACACCACCCCATAAAGAATCTGTAATTACAGAAAAACCATTGATCAAGAAGGATGAATTAGGGTCAAAAGATTGGGCAACAAAAGAGCTGTTGGATTTTGTTTCACACATGAAAAACGGGAACACATCTGTATTATCCCGAATTGATGTCCAATCACTTTTAATGGAATATATAAAAAGAAATAATCTTCGTGACCCAAAAAAGAAAAACCAAATCATATGCGATTCAAGGCTAAAAAATCTTTTTGGGAAACCAAGAGTTGGACACATTGAAATGTTGACACATTTGGAGTACCATTTTTTCATTGAAGAGGATTTATGCAAGATTTCGGTCAACAATTCGGTCAACACCACTGCAATATTAGATGATCCTGATTGGACCAATGAGAATGTGGTTGTGGTTAAAGAGAAGAAACGAAGGAGAAGAAGTAAAGGGGTAGAAATGGAACGTGGATCACAGAACAAATTGGATGAATTTGGTGCAATTGATGTTCATAATATGAATTTGATATACATAAGAAGGGATTTAATGGTGAAGCTTCTAGAAGATACTGGAAGTTTCCATGGGAAGGTGGTGGGGTCCATTGTGAGGATAAGAGTATCTGGTAGTGATCAGAAGAATGATATGTACAGGCTTGTGAAAGTTGTAGGTAATGTTTTTTTTTTTTATTTCAGTTTTTGGATTGTTTAAGGTTTTATGTTATTTGCTAAAAAGTTTATAATATGATTTTTAGGTACAAGTAAGGTGGAAGTAATGTATAAGATTGATGGAAAGTTAACAGATTTTATGCTTGAAGTATTGAATTTAGACAAGAAGGAGACTATATCGATTGATACAATTTCAGATCAAGAATTTTTCTGAGGTAATTAATTAGGGTTTTTAGAAAGTAGAAACTACTATACATGTATTTTTATTCATTTCCTTTTAAACTAAATTATAAAATTCAGCCATTCTAGTAAACTTCTGATTGCTTAAATGAACTCATTGTAGGTGTACTGTTGTTGCTTCATTGAATTTATAGCAAATTACATTTTGGTCCCTGAACATAGCTGAGTTTTTCAAATTTAGCCCCAAAATATATTCTTTTACAGTTTTGGTTTGGTAATGTTTTTGGTCTGTGTTCCATGTTTAATCATTTTTGGGACTAAAATTGCAAAAATCAGCTATATTCAGGGACCAAAAATAGTCACTTTACTTAAAATCGGGACAAAAAACGTTACAATAACCATAAGTAAGGACCAAAATTGCAAGAGATATACTTTTTTGGGACCAAAATTGTAAAGTTCAGCTATACTCAGGAACCAAAAATGTAATTTACTTTAGAATTTAATTATCTGCTATTTTTAAACTAATAATAATATTTCATGCTATTTTTAGGAAGAATGTAGACGCCTGCAACAAAGTATAAGATGTGGGCTTGTAAAACACTTTACTGTAGTAAGTCTCCATATCTATCACATCTTTATATTTTATTTTCCCCTTTTTTGATTTTTTCTATGTGTATTTCTAATTTCAACTTTTTTTTTTCTTCAGGGTGAAATACAAGATAAGGCAATCGCCCTGCAGTCAGTCAGGCTAGATGATGTGAGCCTTTCATAAAACACTTAAATTTGTGTTTTGAGTAAATTACGAAAATGGTCCTCGTGCTTTCTGATTATTTCCATCTTAACAAAAAAAATTGAAACTTTTTTAAGTTTTGGTCCCTTTTCAAGGTTTCATATCGGTTTTACTCCTCGGAACCTTGAAATAAGGACTGTAAGTAGAAAATGTTTCAATTAAGGACTAAACACGGTAAAAATAAAAAAACACAGGGACCATTCTTGTAATTTACTTTTGTTTTTCTTATTTGATGTTTCGTAACTATGATAGAGAGGTCATATGTAGAGGCTGTTTCTTTTCAATAATGAGCTTAATTGGTTAAGCACTTAATCTGTTTCTTTTTTTAATCACTTAATAAAATATTAATATATATTTTGCTTAAATTAATTATTTTCCCTTTTTTTTTTAATGCAATTCAGTGGATGGAAAAGGAGATATTGCGGCTCAATCATCTTCGTGATGTAGCAAATGAAAAAGGGCATAGGAAGGGATATCCTTTGGCAACATTATTTTTTTTTTATATTTTCATTTTCTTTCATAATCAATAACTTTAAAATTAAAATAATTATTAAAATATGGATTTTCTTGACCAATTCCCACATATAGAGAATGTGTAGAAAAACTCCAACTTCTAAAGACTCTAGATGAACGAGAACACAGGCTACAAGAAATCCCAGAAGTCCATTCAGATCCAAAAATGAATCCAGATTATGAATCAGATGACACTGAAGAGTATTTCAACAAAGAACATGGTAATCTTTACTTATATATATATATATATTTTAGGTTAATTACAATTTTGGTCCCCTGAGTTTAGCTGATTTTTAGAAAATTACAAAATTGGTCCTTGTGGTATACTGGTTTTACAGTTTTGGACCAAAATTGTAAATTACCATTTATAATGTTTATATTGAGTGTTGTGATTAAACTTTATAGGAGATGATATGGAGTCAAAATATTGTGGGGTGAAGAGTTCAAGATCTCCTAAAAAAAGAGCAGGAAGTTCCAATGATGCAAATGGGCGAACAAAGAAAAACGAGCAATTAAAAAACTTAAATGTTTCAAATGATGAAGAGGGAGGAAATACAAAAGAAGGAAATACAAAAGATACCCCTGGCCTTGGTAAAACAGAATATGAGATTGAGTGTAATGGTTCAACCATCACTAAATTAAGCTCATCAGTATCAAATAGTGTTCAAGAAACAACAACAATACCTTCTTCATCTATTCCCATTAAGAACAACACATTTTGTCTTAATGAGACATTGTGGCATTACCTCGATCCAAATGGAAAAGTTCAAGGCCCGTTTTCTATAATCCAGCTTCAAAAATGGAGTACAACCGGTTACTTTCCTGTTGACATGAGGGTATGGGCAAATCACGAGGACAAATCCGTCCTTTTGAATGATTTATTAAAAGAACAGTTTGAAAACCATGATCATGAGAATGAAAATGGGAATGGGAATGAGATTCCGGGGGATAAAGATTGTAATCAAACCGTGGCTAGTGAGATTCCGACTCCGATTCCGGTTCCGGTTCTGTCTCCGTCGTCTGATGTTTCCGTGATTCCTTCTTCTGCTCCGGTTTCTGTCAATCATGAGAAGTTTTCCGATGGGTCGTCTGGCCATGGGCAGAATTGGAATGGGAATAATAACTTGAAGTTTAACATGACGGGTGTTGTGTCTTTGACAATGTCGAACGAGTCAACCGGAAACCTCAATTCCGGTGATGCGCCGAGGGAAACGGAAACGGAAATGGAAACGGAACAAGTTCCTACGAGCTCTAAGGATCCGGAAACGCCTGTATTTGAAGTGCCTGGTCCAATTCCAGAGAAGGTGATTGATGAAGAGAAAAAGATAGAATCGGCTCCGGAATCGAAGATTCCGATTCCAGATTCGGGAAATCCGCCGAGCTGGAGTAGTGCTTCGAGTCTGGTAGTCGGTGGGGCAAAACTTGCGGCGGAAACCGATGGGTGGGGGGTCAAACGGGAAGAATGGGAATCGATGAAGCCGGTGGAGGTGGCGGGAGATCATGTTGCTACTCCGACTTCCAACATTGACCAAAATATTGACCAAAATATTGATCGAAATATTGACCAAAACGCCCATCCGTCACAGCCGGGTAATGATCTGCCAACATGGCATGGAATGGCGGAAATGATTGAATTCAGCACTTTAGCGGAGGAATCCGTTTCCGATCTTTTGGCGGAAGTTGATGCGATGGAATCACAATACGGATTACCATCACCTACTTCTAGAAGGAATAGTTTTGTTGATGATTTATTTAACGGGTCATTTGACGAATTTAGCCCTACCCCTGATCAAGGTACAAGAAGTGACGGGTTTAGTTCTAGTGGAGATATTCAATTACCATGTCATTCCACCACCCCAGATGAACATCAACATCAACATCAGCATCAACATCTAGTCGGATTTGATTTCATGAAAATGTCACAAAATCCCTTTATTGCCCCTCAGAGAAGTAGTAATCCAGGGAATATGGGTTTTAAGTGGCCGGAATCAGAGGGAGGAATGATTGACATAAACAGATCGGCTAAAGCTGAAGGCGATGATGTGGACATCGAAACAAAAATCAACGTGGGAAACGGGAATTACATTCCGTCCGTTGCCCCGGTTCACTCCGGAATCAGCTATGGTGGCGGCATTGTACACCCGTCGGAATTCAAATCCGGCGAACTTATGCAAGCACCAAAGACAGGTGGTGCAAGAATGGTGACAAAAGCTTTTCCGGTGAGAGAGGAGGAGGAAGGTGAGTTTATCCAGCCGGAAGCACCACAACCGCCACTTCTGCCGCCACCGTTGACTTTAGGGTTGGACCCGTTTGACCCACGAGAGCTGGATTCAGATAAATATAGTCATTCAGGAAGACAAGGGAATCGGAGCGGGAACATAGAATGGGAACAGAGCCAGAACCAGCGGAGATACGGCGGTGGTGCTGGCGGCAGTGGTGGTGGAGAGAGATATAACAGTAGTGGTAGAGATCATCATGATGAGGATACAGGGTATAGCAGGAGCAGTAGGAGTTCATGGAACAAGCAGTCTATATTGGGTAGTGGTGGTGCTAGTGGCGGCGGTGGTGGTGGAGGCAGTGGTGGTGGAGGGTATTCGAGGCCGCAATCGAAAGGGCAGAGAGTGTGTAGATTTTATGAGAGTGGGAGGTGTAAGAAGGGGGCTTCATGCAAGTATCTGCACCCATGAGGGTTGGTGGTTTGACTGGTTTCCGGCGGGTTGTTTGACCTTTTTTTTTGTAAAATCAATTATATTATATTATATATATTATATATATAAGGCGTGTTAATGTCAGGTGGGATATGTGTAGTTTTAACGTAACTGGCCTCTTGATTAAATTAAGTCTTTGGGTGGGTCATAATGATCTCAAATTCTCAATACAATTGTCTTTTGTTTTCATCGATTCAATTGAATTTATCAAGTAAATCACAAAGTTTTATATTTACTTTAGCGATTAATAATATTATATTAAAATGGTTTGTTTATTTGATTGTATTTCTCTTGCTGTCTTTTTGATCAAGAAACCTTGAGGAAAATCTGTTACTGAATTGCCATTGAATAAATCATTACAAATTTGTTATGAAATGCTGAAGCCTATAAAGGAATCTAGAAGAAATTTTTAGTAGAAAGATAGAAACAAGAATGAACAACGATTAATTTCTTGAGTATTTCTTGAAGGTGTCAAAAAGATGAGAATACGTAGAAGACAAAACATAAAATAAAGAAAATATTTATAGTATTTTATGTTCCAGTTATAATGAAAATATAACATTTTCAGTATATTTAAATTAAGGGTTAATATAATAAAATAACAGCCAATAGTAGCACTAAATTTGTTGTTTAGGTCATTCATATTTTAATTGCACTCAATGAACTGATAGACAATTTTTTGGGCACAGTTGGAGTGAATTTCAACCGGTATAATGATAATGAATTATGTTTAGCATCCACTGTTACATCCAATATGACATAATATGTTCATTTGTGTCTACATGACGCTGACATAACGTCCACTGTGACATCCAATATGACAAATCCACGTAAAAAGTATAAGAAAAAAAAAGTTTATTGACATACTAAATACAAGATGACCAACCCAAGAGCAAAATGTTACTTGTAATTTTCATTAACCTTTAAATTATAATTTTCTTTATCAAGTTTTTAAGCGAGCATAATATCCAAATATTTCTTTCATAGTATTCACCACATGAAAACTTTTTCACTAAGGTGGTAATTGTTTTTTTGCAACAAATCTTTTTTTGATCTTTTATGTCGTATTCACCACATGAAAACTTTTTCACTAAGGTGGTAATTGTTTTTTTGCAACAAATCTTTTTTTGATCTTTTATGTCTATGGGCGGAAAGACATCTGAGGAAAAAATTGTTTTCCAGAAGACAAAAGATATAAAAAACTCGCTTTGACATTTTTTAAGACAAAAAATAGTTTCGGGTTTTGGAAGACATTTTATAAGTTATAACCTTAATGTGATATATCTTTTTCTACCACCGCCGCCGCTACTATCACTATCACCGCTGTCACCACCACCATTAATCTTTTTTTATAAAGACTTATAAAAACAAATAATCTTTTTTATGAAGACTAAAGACATAGAAAATAATTTTTGGTCCACATTTTATTCCATAAACATGAAAAAAACCGAAGACATTTTACATTTTAAAAAACAAACAAGTGTTTTTTTCTTTTGTAAGCAAAACAAAAAGTTTTAGATGCCCTGTTATAGTAATTTTTTTTTCATAAACGAGTTCCATAAATAATTATTTATCTATAATTAACAATATAAAAAAATAAAAATAAAATTCAAATTATGAAAAGTCTCTATATAAACTTGTAAAATTTCAAATGCAATATTATAATTACAAAGAATTATATTTTGACATAAAAGTAGTTACTTTATTTCATTTCTATTCGAGGGAATTGAAGGGAATTGAAACACATGCAGAGGTGGTAGTTATTTGGAGTTGCCGTAACAATGTCGTCCACGTTAATGCAGACGAAGAAACGTGCTGCCGGAGCACTGTTTGCCCTCGCCCTAAACCATGTCCAGATCCACCAGACTCGTCCTTTGGCTAATGCAATCGCCGCCGATTCCTTCTCCAATGAGCGTCGCCTTTGGGTCCACGAGTCCTCCGGTCTCCTCCGCCCTATTTTCAGGTTTTCCTCTTCTCAATTAATCAACCCTAGCTACCTAACTCTGTATTCTACAAACGCTTCATGAATTTAGTGATTCACTTTCAATTTCTTGTTCTTATCGTAAACGCTAAATGATTGGGGATTATAAATTCGACAAAATTGATGGAATTATACATGACTGTAATATTGGGAATTTAACTTATTCCAATTATAAAAGTTTCATTTGTATTTCACTTATCAATGGTGTTATTATGTATCTATCTAAGTGCCTTTTTTGTTTTATGTAATTTAAAATGCCTACCCTGTATGTAACTTGAACAAAATTGACCTATTTTGAACTATGTAACATTTTTCAACGATTCAGATATAAAGCCACAACATCCAAACACGATAATTTACACTTTTTATTGTCTTTCTTAGTCATTTATACTCCTTGTTTTATATTTTCAACTCCTATTGCTAAGTTTTATGTATCTTTATCAAGAACAGATTCCTAGAAATTGAAAGTGCAGCTTGGCCTGATCTGGAGACAACTGCTATCTCTTCTAATGTCAGGCGTAATGTTGGATCAGTATGTAACTTCATACTTTCATGTTTTTAACTTTCATGCTTGAATCAAATTAGTTGACATGATTATAGTATTATACTTGGTTTATTCCATATGAACTCTTCTATCTACTTCATAATCAACAATATTAATTGATAATTTTTCAGTTCTTACGAGTACTTGCGGAAGAAAACGATGGAAGTGCTTCTAAGGAAGTGTCAGAACAAGAGCTTGCATTATCCAAAGCTGTAGACGCAATGGTATCAAACATAGAAACATCTCCAGAACATTTTGAGCATAAAAAAGAGAAGCATCGCTTATACGCACATGAATGGCGTGAAAAATTCTCAGTTAATGAATCAATGGCTGAAACAAAGGAGCACCTTCAAAAGAAGGAGGAGAAAGATTGTAAGTCACCAAGGCCTGAACAAGTGCCTGTTGCGTCCAATAGTGAAGTCCAAGAAAAAAGGTTTGAAGAGGTGGGATTGATTGGGAATCAAAGGAAAGTTGCGGTTTTATATGAGCTTCTTTCAGCTTGTTTGGCTGATACACCTGAAGATGATAAAACAATTGAAAGACCTCCAAAAGGGTATGATGCTCGTCATCGTGCTGCTTTGAGGTTGCTCACAACGTGGTTTGAACTCAAGTGGATCAAAATGGTTCGTGTTCTTGTATGCCCAAATGAACATGGTTTCACTTTCACTTTCACTTTCACTTTACACATTCCTTAAATCCATTAATACTTTATTTGTTTGTGCTTTGCGTAATACATTTACATTCTTACTCATGTCCCCTCTTTACTTTTAGCTTTACTGCTAGTATCTGCGGTCTACTTTATTGTCCCCTGTTTTTTTAGCTTTATTGCTAGAATCTGCAATTTGCTTTATTGTCCCCTATTTTCTCTCGGGTTTAATGGTAATATTTGCTTTCTATTTTTAGGTCCCTTTATTACTTTCAACCTTAGTGCTATGATCTTCTTTTGCTTTATTCTAGCCTATTTACTTTAAGTTTTACTGCTAGTATCTGCTTTCTACTTTATTGTCCCCCATTTTCTTTCAGCTTTAATGCTAATATTTGCTTTCTTTTTTTAGGTCCCTTTATTACTTTCAACTTTAGTGTTAGGATCTTCTTTTGCTTTATTCTAGCCTCTTTACTTTAAGCTTTACTGCTAGTATCTGCTTTCTGCTTTATTGTCCCCTATTTTCTTTTAGCTTTACTGCTTTATTGTCTTCTATTTTCTTTTAGCTTTACTGCTAGTATCTGCTTTCTGCTTTATTGTCCCTTATTTTCTTTCAACTTTAATGCTAATATCTGTTTTCTTCTTTATTGCCCTTTTATTACTTTCAACTTTAGTGCTAGGATCTTCTTTTATTCTAGCCTCTTTACTTTAAGCTTTAGTGCTAGCATCTCCTTTCTTCTAAATTGTCTTGTGTTTACTTTCAACTTTAGTGTTAGTATCTGCTTTATGCTTACACCATTGGGCCCTCACTCTTCAACTTGTGCATGTGCAGATGCATAGTTTCACTTTCGCTTCACTTTACACCTTCCCTAAATCCATCAATACTTTACCTGTTTGTGCTTTGCGTATAGTATTTACATTCTTACTCATGTCCCCTCTTTACTTTCAACTTTAGTGCTGGTATTTGCTTTATGCTTACACCCTGGGTGGAGACAGGATTAACCCCCTTACCCAATTCTTATGGGATTTAAGGTTTTGTTGCTTTGTTAAATCACATTCTTACCACTCTAGCATCCGTTCATATATCAAATAAATATTTTTTTTTATTTATTTTTTTATTTTTTTTGACATTGGTTTTGCACTAAAACATCTTGAAGTCTAATCTAATATATCATAGGATATTGTCTTTTCTATTAATGTCCTTGTTTTCCTCATTGCATACGATATCAATTTACCAAAGGGAGATTTCCTTTTTGTAGGAAGCAATTGAGGTGGTTATTTCATGTTCAGCAATAGCTGTTTTGAAACAAGATGATGGAGTCGAAAATGTACAAACATCAGATGACTCATGGGAGAAGTGGAAACGTGGAGGTCTCATTGGAGCAGCTGCTGTAACTGGTGGAACCCTAATGGCAATCACTGGTGGTATATATGATCATCTCATTTTCTCAAAAAAACTTACACATTTCATTTATCTTTATTTTTATAAATGTCATACACTATTTTGTTACATTTTCATCAGGTTTAGCTGCTCCAGCAATTGCATCAGGAGTTGGTGCTTTAGCACCTACATTAGGCACCATTGTTCCAGTGATTGGAGCTGGTGGATTTGCTGCTGTTGCAAGTGCTGCAGGAAGTGTTGCAGGTTCTGTTGCAGTAGCTGCATCATTTGGAGGTTAGTTATGTAAAATATGCAAGAATTTGCAATTCAATATAAATGAAATTTAATCAAATAGGATTAGTTAATGTAATTAAACAAGGACTAATTAATTAATACTTGAATTGATCCAGCTGCTGGGGCTGGACTTTCGGGGACTAAAATGGCTAGAAGGACTGGAAGTGTGGATGAATTTGAGTTCAAAGGCATAGGGGAAAACCACTATCAAGGCGTAAGTTTCTTTAAACATTTTTATTTTTCCAGTTTCTTGATGAAATATTTCTCATTAAACCTTGTGTTCCCAGAGGTTGGCTGTTGGGAT